AAAAAAAAAAAAAAAAAAAAAAAAAAAAAAAAACTATTTAGTTATCTCTATTTTGAAATAAAATGTATGTGCATTTTTCAGACTTCTCTGTCTGATCTCTACTGTCCTATCCAATAAAGGCATAAAAATCAACAAAAATTCACAAATTACCAGAAAAGTCAAAGAACAGTTATTTATTTATTTATTTATTTATTTATTTTTGTCTGAAGTCAAATCTAAACATTTGGCTTGGATAAAATTTGCGAGGAGAGGTAGAAAGATCATCTTGAAACAATTTGTTGAAAAAAAAAAACCACACTCTCTCTCTCTCTCTATATATATATATATAAAGGAGAATAATTAAAAAGAAACAAAAATAATTTTTGATAAAATCTAAGGTGGAGCATGCATTGAACACGGAAACAATGAACACATCCAAACTAAGCATAAAATGGTGCTTAAAGGAACGTGGCGGGAAACAATTTCAGCATCACGGAATGCAATGTGAGAAGAGCGCGCGTCTCTCATTATGATAATGTTTGCACACAACACCTGTTCTCTCACAATGCTTTACCAGCGATCACTTTACATATCAGTCCACTGTCTGCCTTACCTCACAACCCTCATGAAGTACGTATGCTTCATTCACTTACCTTTATCCTATGAATTAATTTATAATTCAGTTTTATAATACTACATGATACCTTCATTTATTCACGGTTGTATGTAAGCTTCAACACTGCCTGTGCAAAATACACAGTAAACATGACTAACCACAGGTTAGTGAGAATCTATGTCAGTTGCTTTTTATTTGTTCTAAATGTATTGATGAACTTGTAAAACATTAGATTCAACATAAATGTACATTAATTAAATATAAACAATGAAACATATAAATCAATTTATCCTGAGTAGATTGCTGAATGCGCTGTATTATCAGTTTAAGCGACATGATTTCTCTATATGCAACATTCTGTAACAGATGACATTAAATACTTGAATTGAATCATGCACACAAATGGGTTTTGTAAAAACTGAAGATGGATCTCCCAGACTATTTCTTTAGCTGATCTTGATGAGGTATTACCTCATTTACTCTCATCATAAAACTTTAGTGTCTTTAGAACATGAGAATTGTGCTCGTCTGTCTGAGAAACCTAATCTTCTCAGACACTGTAGTCAGCAAACCAGGGATACAGTCAGCAACTGGTCAGTGTACGTTCATAATTGGACTCATTCTAAGTCACAGACTGCTGTCACAGGTGAGAAGAACCAGCATGATGGAGTTCTGGTTGATTTCGGTTCCTCTGGATAAAATCAGCTGTCAGTCTTTAGAGAAACTCAAACGGGTCTCAGCCAAAACCGGTCTGGCCACGAGCTCCAGAATCCACATCCCAGAGCTGAAGGTAAGGAAACACTCTTCTTCTAAGACTTCTGGGCTCTCTGGAGGATCTCCGGTGCTTCACTATAGGCCAGTTTGAGGCTTATAGTTGAAAATGGTTGCTTAAGGTCAATAATCAATGGACAGTAAACAATAATAACAAGTTTTTTTTCTTAGACACTTTCCATGAATAGAGTACAAAAGAGTTAAGCTTTTTAATTTATTTATATCGTTTATTACATCATTACAAATACTCTGAAAACAGTGTTAAATTGTTAAGCTTGGTAAATGCAGTCAATGCTATGATTTGTAAAAAAAATAAAATGTAAAAAATAAAATGAGATTATACTTCTGCTGCCTTCAAGTGCACCTGGGAAATTACATTTTTATGATACACACATTGAAGCCCGAAACATAATACAGAAGTAGCCTAAATAAGCAAAATAATATTATTGTGAACAATAATCACTAATAATAAGAATTAAAAATGAGGAAAATTATTAATTTCTATCACTTATTCATGCATGGTATCATGGTAACTTTTACGGAGCCGACGAGACGTGAGACGTGCGGATCCATTTGCAGAGCTTTAATAGAAGACAGAGACGTGGTCATAAAACAGGCATGGGTCAGACAATGGCAAACAGGTATATAGAGGGCAAGACAAAAGAGTATCCAAAGGAAGGCGTCAGTCGACGGTGAACGTAATCCTGAGGGCGAGGCAAACGGGGAATCCACAAGACGAGCTAGAGTCCAGGCAAGGTGCAAACACAGTCCGGGGTAAACAGACAAGGCAGTACTAGATTAAGAAATTAGAATGGCTCCATAAAGTAGCTATCACACGATAAACGATAAGTGCTAAAACAATACTCGGCCATCTGAACGAGGAAGTCCAGGGCTTATAAAGCGTGTCTGATTGGATTCAGCTGTGTGTGTGTAATCAGTGCATTCGAGCATGGGAAATGTAGTCCAGGGTGATGTGTAACAGTCTGTGTGGTGTGAGAGTCAATATCATGGGAGTGCGACCTCTGGTGGCAAGTGGATGGAAGTTCATGGACCGGATTCGTGACATAGCCCCCCCAAGGAGTGGCTTCCAGACGCTCCTAACTCATAATCCAGGAGGGCGGTGGAGCGAAGGCGGAACAGGGGGAGGGACGGAGGGCCAGGCCCACGTGGAAGTGGAGAGACCGGGGACTGAGGCAGTGTAGGCAGAGCAAAGAACCAGGGTGGAGCCGGCAGAGCAGGTGGAGCTGAGGACCACCACAGCTGAGCAGACGGGTCCAAAGATCCCCACGGCGGAGCAGAAGACCACCAGAGCAGGACAGGAGACCACCACAGGGAGAGTTTGGCAAAGGTTCCTTCGACCTTGACATGACAGGTTGAAAGTGCGTTTCTGGGCGCCACCACCACGCAAGGAGCTGAAGCGAGCATCGCCGCTTTGGGAGGTTCTGCAGCATGCACCGCCACCTCTGGAGAAACTGCAGCGGGCACCATCACTTCGGGGAACACAGCAGCGAGCGCCACTACCTCAGGAGATTCTGCAGCTTCAGCCGCCAACTCTGGAGACCTAATAGTGGGCGCCGCCGCCTCTGGGAGTTCTGTGGTGGTGTATGCAGCCCAAACACACCAAAAAGCGACCCCCATCAAGGGAAGTGCTTCAGACAGGGGAATCAGTTCAGGAACAGGAGGGCTAAAGTGAGTGGGTTTGGGGATACCAGCTGCGCGTGCAGACATCAGCAGTGCATCCCTCAAACTGGATACCAGACTGGGATACCGATGGGCTGAATTTGATAATCTGGGTGCAACAGACAGGACGTGACAAGACTCTGGAAGATCAACTGTGAAGTGACATGACTCTGGAAGATCAGCTGTGATGTGATGTGACTCTGGACGAATAGCTGAGATATGACGTGACTCTGGACGAATAGCTGAGACGTGACGAGGCTCTGGCAAATCAGCTGAGACTTGACTTGACTCATGACGATCAGTTGTGACTTGACTTGACTCATGACGATCAACTGTGACTT